CCCGTGGCGCTGTCCAAGGTACCGCGATCGGGCAGGGGTCCCGGCCACCCAGCGGTCTCAGGCAGGTGCCCTCCCCGCCGCGGAGCTCCTGAACACGCAGCCCCGCGATGCTCCAGGCTGGTCCTGCGGCGGGCGGTGGGTCCCCCGGGGCCTGTCTGCTAAAGGGCAGGACTGGCAGCGCTCTCCACCCTCCCCGTGGGCCCCAAGATGCTTCTTTCCGGCGCCTGCCCTGGTCACAGCCTCCCTCTGTCCCCAGGCCGGTGCTGATGCTGCGTCTCCCACCTGGAGAGGAGCCTCCTGCCCTCCGCCCTCTCAGCTCCTGGAGGGCTGGGCCGACAGGAAGTCCGCTGAGAGACCCCGCACCCACGACTCCCGTTGCACCTGTGTCTCTCCTAGACTTGAAAATCAATCTGATACTGGTTGATTTGACTCTGAAATAGAGTTTATCCGGCTCTCTAAGGCCTAAGGCCCAGAGCAGGGCCTGGTACTGAGCAGGCACCAATGACTTAAATAAAAATGATGACGGATTGATAATAACAAAAGACCCACTGTCACCCTGGCATCAGGCCCTCCCGGGGCTGGGCGAGGTCCCAGGGTTCCTGTTACTAGGGCCCTAGACTCCTCCAGGGTGACCTGGCTGTCCCTGCCTTGGTGCAGACCCTGACAACAAGCCTGGGGGCGGGGAGGCTGGCGCTCAAGGGAGCAGTGGGACGGCTCAGTGAGCCCGGTATTCAGTGTTTCCTGTGCTCGGGCTGTCCAGGAAGTCTGGGTTCCAGCTTGGGATTCATGGGCCACGTGACCTTGGGCAAGTCACTAACCCTCTCTGTGCCTCAGTCCCCCCATTGCGAGTCTGAATTCTGGAGAAGCTGCCCCTTCTGAGGATGGTGCCTTCTCTCTGGGAGCCCCTTCTGGCCCGCAACAGCCTGAGTGTCCTCGGTCAGGACCTTCTGCAAGGCTGGGGATCAAGGCCGAGTAGAGCCTTCAAGACGCTAAAACCGGCCACCACCTGTCACTGCCGCCTGCCAGCTTGGAGCAGCAGTCCCAGAGCAGGCAGCTTGGGCATCTGGTCCAGCATTTGAGGAGGGAGCCTAGCCTGGCCTCCCCAGGCCTCAGTTGCCAGCTACAGAATGGGCAGAAGGTGGCGCTGGTCAGAGAGGTGCCCCCCCATCCCTGGCCATGAGAGCCAGGAGCAACCTGGGAGTTGCAGGGCAGAGCTGTTCATCCCTCTGTCCAGCTGTGTGGCCAGGGTGAGGCCACTGTCCCAGCAGCAGGGGACGCAAGGACTCCAGGGGAAGTTGAGGCCTCAGGACAGGGGGAGACAGAAAGCCATTCCCTAGCTTTTCTCTGCTGGTGGTGGACACCCTCGCCCCAAGATCCTGACAGCTTTGGGACCCGGCTCAGCAGGCCAAGTGTTTTGGCCCCGCCCGGCTAAGCCCTGGCCCTGGTTTGCCCACAGAGTGAGGCACAGAGAGCAGCGACAAAGGACGAGGGACAAAGCTTGGGAGGCGAATACACGCTGGCCCAGCAAGAACATCAGCAGCACGGGGTGCACGACCCCGGCCACCTCTGTCTGCCCCAGCCAGGATCAAGCCACTGCCAGGATCTGATCTGCGGTCCAGACTCACAGCGTGGGGGAAGGGCGCCGCCTGCGGGGTTTCAAAGGGAGCCGCCCCTGGGGGGCCCCCCCGCGGGGTGCAGCGCAAACAACCCAGCCCAGAGGGGGGAGGGGCAGCAGCTGAACAAACAGCACCTCCCTCCCCCTGCAGCCCCAGCCAGGCACCTGTGGGACCTCTGACCTCCGGCTGGCTGCACACAGGACACTTGTGTCTCAGCTGTGGACAAGCGAGCTGGGCCGCGCGTCTGTATTCACGCACGCGTGTGCACCGACCCCCTGGCATGCTCCCTGAGGAGTTTTATTCGCTGCCCTGTCCAATCCCCTGGGCAGGTGAAGAGGATGTCAGGCCAGGGGACCAAACCCAACCCCTCCCTGCTCGGCTTAGCTTGGGAACTGAGATTGTAAACAGTTGAAAAAAAAATTTCATGAGCCGTGAAAATGACACCGATTTCAATAAGAATTTCAAATTTCAGTGTCCACAAGTAGTTTCATCAGCACGCAGGCCACATGTGCTCGTTTGCATGTTGTCTGTGGCTGTTTTCACAATGACAGCACAGGGTGGAGAGACCTAAAAGATTTACCATCTGCCCGGGCAGGAAAGTATGCCAGCTCCTGTATCAGGGTGCCAGTAAAACCAGGCCAGGCCGCTACCTCCCCTCAAACTAAAGTCTAGCTCAACAAGCCCAGGGAGGACTGCAGAGCGAGCAGATCTAGGCGGAAATGTGGTTGATTTTGGTGCATATAAGCGAGATTTGGGCTTTACAGTTTTATATCGGCTAGCGTGCGTGGGTGTGTCCATGCATGCATGTGTCAAACAAACTCTTCAAGGCTTAAGATCTCTTTCTTCCTCTCTCTCTCTGTCTCTCTCCATGGTCTTGCTATATGGCCAGGCTGGCTTCAAACTGAGCGGCGACCCTTCTGCCTCAGCCTCCCAGCAGCTGGGATTACAGATGTGCGCCATTATTCCGGGTTTGATTTAGCATCTCTTACTCATTTCTCTTGTGCTTACGCGCATGCACGCAAGCGCGCGCGCACACACACACACACACACACACACACACACACACACACAGTGGGGACACAGTAGGGGATTGGTTGCTATTTGGGGATAAAATGGGCCTGATTCTCTCTAGCAATCCAGCTACCTTGCTAGTGCTGTGATGTTCTTGCCCATTTCACAGACCTGGAAACTAAGCCCCCTGGCCCGGGTCACACAGCTGCTCAGGGCAGCGGGGAGCCCGAGGCACTCAGGGCTGCTCCCTGATGGCCCAGGCTGACCTGGAGTCTGAGTGTGAGGGCAGAGTCCCCTCAGCACTCTTCCGACCTGGGGAGCAGGCAGCCTGCTGCAGACCCTGGTGGGAGCAGTTCACCCTCTCCTCGCAACGCCCCGGGCAGGGGTCTGGGAGCTTGCAGAGAGCTGCAGAGAGCTGAGTGGCTTTTTCCCTTTTCCTGCACACAGGGGCAGGCGTGGAGCACGACGGCCAGAAGGCCAGTAGGTGATGGGGCTGGACGATCTCTACGGCCTGTGCGAGCTCTGAAAGTGTGAATGCCAAGCGGCCCCTTTTCGGGATCCGGACCCTGCCCTCTGGCTCCAAGGCACAATGAGACTGGGGCAGGGGAGGCCCAGCACGCCCAGTCCCCATCAGAGCCTCAGGGCTCCTCTGGAATAATGGCCACAAAGACTAGAGATGACTCCTTTTTCCTCTGGACAGAGCAGCTCCTTGCTCCAACCCTCCTTGTGCTGTTTTCCCCTCACTCACTGTGCTCCAGACACAGTACATTTGAATATCTACTCAGATACTTCCCACCCCAGGACCTTTGCACTGCCTTTTCCCCTACCTGGAACATGGCCTTCCCTTGCTTATTCTCCAGATCTTTATTCAAACATCAGTTCCCCTGATTCATCTCACACCCTCAAGACGACGGACTGATTTCCCACGTGATCATGTATTTGCTTGCTCTCCAACTACACAGGAACCTTTGTGGTCAGTTTCCAACCTCTACTGAAAGCCTGGTACACTGCCTGCCGGGCCACAGTGCTTAGTGCGGAGTCTGACATGCAGCAGGAGGTCACTAAACGTCTGGACGATGGAATGTGTCCATGCAGGGCCTGCCCAGTGGCTGAGGCCATCACCTGGAGTCACGGAGTGGAGATGCGCTGAGATGCCAGGTCTACAGGCACCAGTGTGAGGTCGCCTGCATTAGACATGCTTTCTGCAGTGATGGCAGTTTCTGGGTCTACGCTGTCCTGTCCGGTGCAACCCAAGAACTGAATTTTGTGTTTTCCACAATGTGAACTAATATAAACTTCAACAGGCACGCGTGGTCAGTGGCTCTCACACGGGGCAGCGCTACTTCCCCAAGTCGTCGCATCAGCTGTGCTATTCAGGGACTCAGGGAAACTTCCCCGAGGCCTCAGCCGCTCCTGGGGGCCAACACAACCAGGACTCTCGGGCCACTTCCATGAGGCCAGGCCACTGAGACCACAGGGCGGCTAGCAACTCGGGAGCGCTTCACATGGGGACAAGACCCAGGACAAGACAGCGGGGTCATTTCCGCCACCCCTGTCATCATCACATCGCCGTCAGCACCACCGTCGCCAACACCACCACCAAGCGGGGCACAGCCGCCAGGACGGCCACCAACACCCCGCTTCTGTCACCACACACGTCACACCACTCCCAGGGCCACCACCACGGCCGTCCACCATCAGTACCACCACACACTGCCACCAGCATCCCCACTGTCACCAGACACCCGCACCGACACCACCACCAACGGGACCACCACGAGCCCCCACAGGGAACCACGACTTCTCTCCACCGACACCCTGACACCTGCAGCCAGGACACCTCTGCAGGCAAGGGCTGTGGCCCCACAGTTCAGCTACCTGGGCTTCAACCACAGCTCTGAGTTGAAGTCGCTCAGCTCCCAGGGGACTCAGTTTCTCCATCTGTCCAATGGGACCAATACTACTACTAAACTACTACTACTACGGTGAGACAAGTTGCCTGGGAAAGCTGGAAAAGAGGAAGAAAGAGCATGGGCACCCCCTTTCTTCAATAACCCAGCACCGAGGCTCCTCTGTCTCATGCTCAGCCAGCCGGTTTGCTTTAATCCTCAGGCAGCTGGGAGAGATATTGGTCTGGATGCTGACTGACACTGATCCATTTTGCAGAGGAGGAAACTGAGTCTCAGAGAGGCGAGGCACCCTGTCCAAAGCCCGCAGCTGATGTCAGGGGCTGCACTGGAACCCAAATCGCCCAGCGGATATCCTTAGTCAGTCCCTTTCCCAGGGCGGGGGAGGGAGGTCGATCAGCAGATCTGGCCTCTGCAGTCCACACTCTTCGGGGGCCAGGGGTGGGTCGGGGAGGAGTCTGCTCACCTGTGTCCTGGCGGAACTGGTGCATGGACTGCAGGTCGATGATGTAGGGCACCAGCTGGGCGTCCACCTGCCCCAGGACCACGGAGCCCCGGGCGTCCTCCTTGAGCACATTCTCGATGTGGTGACACACGGTGGCCGTGTAGGGCCTCCAGCGGCTGTGCTCGTTCAGCCACTCCCACACCACCACCCGGGCTACGTTCTGCGGCGGGAAGCCCAGCCCGTTCACGGGCACCATCACTCCCTGGCCCGGCCTGGACATGGCCGCGGCGGTGTCCGGGGCCAGGTCCCCACTCGGGCTGGCGACCGCAGGGAACTTCCTCTCTCCCGGGGCTCAGAGGCCTGGGGGCACTGCAGTGGTTAGGGGGCTCCCAGGACCCCTTCGGGCCGGGCTGTCGGGAGAAGGGTCTCCCTTAGGTCGGGAAAGCGGCTCTGGATTCCCAGGTCCCCTGGCTCAGGTAAGGCCGCTGCCTGTGTTCTGGGTCAGGTCTCCTCCCTGCTGGCCTTCGGTCCTCTGTAGCCGCCACGCAGCGTCTGTCACCTAG